TCCGCTTCCACGCGGCTTTTGTGCTAACAGAGCACGTGTCTTCCGATGCGGCCTCGCTTCTCAAAATGGGCTGCTTTGATTCTGAGCTCTGCATTTTTTGTTCAGCAAGACCAACAAGCTCCCTGACGGGCTGGGTGGAACGCAGGCCGGCCTCCACCCTCCACACCATAATTGCAGGGGCTCCAACGGTCCCCGCAGCTGCCCGTGATGTGGTTTCCAACCATTCCTTGGCGGCTGGGAGTGGAGTTGACTCTGCACTTGGCCCGGCCCACACACTATGGGGCAATGTGCGTCTCCTCTGTGTGGTTACCAGCCAACCTGTCACTCCCAGGGCTCGGCACCCCTAGGATCCGAACAGGGGCTGCCTTCTGTGTAACAGAAACACCATGTGCTGTCGTCAACCCTGTCTAGGTGCCACACGCAGAAGCTGAGATGCTCCAGGCTCCAGGGAACACAGCAGGACGTGAGCCAAAACACGATGGCATCTACGCCGTCAGTCCCACGCCCTCTAGATTCCCTTTATGGAAGGAGGGCCCCAACCGTGGCACTGCTGCCTGGACATCACTGGTGTCCCCTGGCCTATCCATGGCAACAGAAGCTGTCTGCAGAACACTCTAGGCTTTCTAACCCGCCCGCCTAGCCCCTCTAATCCTCAACACATCCCACAAGCTCCTGATTCCACAAGCACGTGCAACTGGCACTTCCCTACCTTCTAGTGTGGGGTCCCCAGCCCCGTAGCCAACATCTCTGTATACAGCAGGAGGCCCCTCCGGCTCCCAACATCACTGCTGCCCCCACCCCACTCTGCAGCGAGCTCAGTCTCCTTCCCATCCCTTGCACTTCCCTTTCCCCTCTCCCTTCTGCCCTTGCCGCCTCCCTCCCCCGACACTGGGGACTGAACCCAGGGCCAATTTTCCTTTTGGCCCTCAGGCTCGCTACATTACTCCGAGCGCGCTTGGATTACAGGTGTACGCCACGGTGCCCAGCAGAAATTCAGGCTCCTGTGCAGACAGTCCCTTCCCGTCTCTTGCCGGCCCTGTCCTTAAGGGCTTTGGGAACTGGAGTGGGTTAGGGGGCTGCCAGGCAAAAGTGGCCTGTCACTGGAAGCGCACTGGCCAGGGGCGCAGGGTGGCGGCCAAGGTCTGAGGGCTTTGAAGACAGGCTCCAACCAAGCCTGTTAGCTCCTGTGACCTGCCACTCGGCAGGACTGTCTTCAGTTGTGTAAGACCTCAGCGGTGCGCTGGCCTCCATCCTGTGTCCCTGCTACAGTACAAGCTCTGAGGCTGGGGAACGTGCTGTCTGCTCTGTCACATCCTCTGAGCAGGGCGCCACTGTCCAGGCGGTGCTTTCTGCACAACACCTGCTGGCATGAGGTGAATGGCTGCGCAAACAGCCATGGAAGGTTCTAGTCTATTTCAAAACAGTCCTGCCCCACTAGGGGAGAACAACATCTGACCTCTAAAATAAAATGAATTATTAAAAAACTGAACAGCCTGAGAGACTAAACTGTTCCTCAGTAGATCTGTGGAGGACTTTAGTGAAGAACAGTGAGGCTCCCCTCTGATGTTCAGTCTGAGTTTGGTCTTTTTATTGTTCTTGACCCTCACTTCAATGGACGACCCTAAGAGCTATGGGAAAGAAGGGTTCTGCTAAAGTCCTCAGAAAGAATGGCCCTCGCTATGGCTTATATCTAGGTGTCCCCCCAAAGCCTCATGGAAGCCTCACTGATGAGCTTGTGGCTAAATGTGACGTGGGGGAAGGTGAAGTCTGACTGGACCAGGTGACCTCTGCGGGCCTGGCCTGGAAGGTCCGTCTCCTTCCTCCTCCCTCGATCTCCCTGCTTCCTGCTGCCAAGCCACGGGCCGCTTCTCCTCTGCCGTGCCCCTCTGATGTTCATGCCTTCAAGGCAGACAGCCGTGGCCTAAAACCTGTACAAACTGTGAACTAAAATTACCTTTTCCTCCTTTAACTCATTCACCATTGGGCTGTCTGTGCATAACACTGTCTCTGCCTCACGCAGTGGCTTGTGCCACCTGATGGGACATTCATGCATGGGCCACTAGTGGTCCTAGCCAGGGGGAACGTGTTAACTTGTGGAAACGTGGGTGTTACCCTCCAGTGGTAACAGCCCTGCAGTGAGAGCCAGTGAAAAGATAAGGACTCAGCCCAACAGATGCAGTCGGCTGACCTTGGCCACTAAGCAGCAGCAGCAGCAGGGGGTGCCGCCTCCGGGGAGAAGCAGTCCCGAGGACTCCTTGAGTTCAGCCTGGGAGACCCTTCTCAGGCTTCTGACCCATACACCCTGAGAGAATACACATGTTACTTAAAGCTCCTGCATCTGTGGAACACGACATCAACATTAAGACAGTGAATGCAACACCTCTGGCAATATTCAAGTACTACATGGGGCTGGGGAGATGGCTCAGTGGAATAAGCGCTTCCCTGGCAAGCGGAAGGACCTAAGTTCAACCCCCAGTTCGGGGGGGGGGGGCGGAATTCAAGTACTACTGTTTTTTGTTTTTTTTTTTGGTGGAACCGGGGATTGAACTCAGGCCTTGCGCTTGCCAGGGAAGCACTTATTCCACTGAGCCATCTCCCCGGCTCCTACTGGTTTTCTAAAATCTTTCAATGGTACAGATAGGAACTGCTCAGAGCTGGGCACAAGGATGGAAAAGGTGGCTTTTGGGACAATGGCACTTCTGTCTGCATGTGAGCAGCCCAGCAGGTACCGCCTCCCCCTCAAACAACTGCAGTGGGAATAAGAAAATCACAGAGGCTGCTTTCTGGGTAATAATGCAATTAAGTCTCAAAACCAAGGCATATAAGAGCACAACTAACTGAACTGAACTGCAGATTAGATGCACAAAAATCCTGTGTTTTTCCTCAAAAGACAGAAAAGAGACCTCTACTCCAGGAAACAGGACCAAGATCCTATTCAGGGGATTTATTGAGCAATTTTGCTATCAGGTTTAACATCATTATCATGGAAGAAGCAAAAGAGAGAAAAAAGTTAAACAGCTCTGTCTTTCAAAGCTCATGGTAAACTTTTCCTTCTAATTGACTTTTTTTTTTTTTTTTTTTTCCTATTGAAAATGTGTGACAAGAACTTAGGCCTCTTCCTTCAAATAGAAGAATACGAGTTCGGGAGAGACTGCGTGCGACATGCTTGCAGAACTAGCTTTGTACACGAGTACCGCCAGAGTCGGTGCTTTGTGATGCATGTGGCATTCGTGTTAGTAATGCACGCTGCCGGACAGCCTGGCCACACCACGTGAGCGTGCATTCGGCGTGGCGGGATCGTCCGGGTGGGCGCGCAGCTCCCTGGTCATCTGTGAAAGGACCTTGAGACGGGAACAAAGAAACAAACACCTGCCTACCCGCAGGCAGGCTGCAGAGCCCACAGCCACTTTGCACAAACCTGCACAAACCCTGCCTTTGCTGCAGAGCATGTGGAAACCATTTTAATCTAAAGACCCAGCGTGATCATGCTTGGCAAGTCCGAGGACTACAACACGATCAGGTTTCCTTAGACAGGGCTGTTTGAAAACATTTGGCAAACATTAGGTCAAGCTGACAGAAATGACGCTTTTATAATGTGAAAGAAGGGCAAATAGACGCACTGCTTCCAAGCTGGCGTAAACGAAGTATTAAACCCACGAGCGGCTGCCCCTCCGCTCCCACTCTCTTCTGCGCGTGAGGTGAAGACGCCAGAGGGACCACATGTGGAGACAATGGGGGGACCTGAGGTGGAGACAATGGGGGGACCAAGGCACACAGGAGGGACCCGAAGCACAGACATGAGAGGGACCCGGCTCCAAGTGCCCAGGTTTCCGCCAGCCCTCACTCAACATTTGCAAGGTTATTGTCATTAGCATCAGGTTCTTCAAAACTCTGGCAAAATTAAAAACAACTCCTAAAGAACACCACTCACTAAAGATGGGGCTTGTAAAAGTACTTTTATTTAGATATTAAAAAAAAAGATGGAGCTGGGAGATGGCTCCGTAGAATAAGCGCTTGCCTGGCAAGTGCGAGGCCCTGAGTTCAATCCCCTGTTCCGCAAAACAAACAAACAAACAAACAAACAAACAAACAAACTGTAAATTTGAACTTGACAAGAAAACCAATGATGTGGAAGTCGCTGCCCCCGGTTCACTGTGCATACTCGCCAACAGGTCAGGATGAAATGCGTAAGTCGACTGACCGTGATGGGCAATGGCATCGCTATGTATTATTTTTTATTTTATTTTATTTTTGCGGAACTGGGGATTGAACTCAGACCCTTGCACTTGCCAGGGAAGCGCTTATTCTACGGAGCCATCCCTCCAGCACCCACCCCTTTTTTTTCAAGGTCAGTTCTTTCTATGTAGTCCAGATTGGCCTGGACCTCAAAATCATCCTGCCTCAGTCTCTCAAATGCTAGGATTACAGATGTACACCACCACACCCAGCTAGCAGAAGTGATTTTGAGGGGGGAAAAGAAGGGAAGTAAAATTGCATGAGACACAGAAATCAAGAAAAAAAGAAGGAAGCTTCAGCTCTGCTAGCTGACCTTTCCTCCAACCCCTAACCCTGTAACTGGGGAAGGCAGGCAGCTCCGGGTGGTGTCCAACAAGATCCGAGAAGCGGATGCACAAGGAAAGCAGAGCCGGGCGTGAAAGCCCAGGCCTGGAATGCCAGCACTGGGGAGGCTGAGTCAGGAGCATCGCTGCGAGTTCAAGGCCAGCCTGGGGTGCACAGTGAATCCCAGGCCACCCTGCACTACGTAGTGTGGCCCTGACTCAAAAAGGCACAAAGCAAAAAGCAGCCAGCAGACAGATTCCCCAGATGTGCAGAAAGAAGACTTTCTGCAGACGGTACTACTCTCACCAGGCACCAAACGCTGGACGATGGCTCACGGGATCAAGACCCTAACCCGAGGGACAGGGTGCTAGAGCGCTGCTCGGAAGCACGACATCTGAGAAGAGTGCCTCTGTGAGGAGCTGGGGGTGGGGGTGACTCACATAGATCTGGTTTCTCTTGTAGCGCTGGAACAGGTTGTGCATGATGGAGCCGGCGTGCAGCTCAGCCAGGGCAGCCATGTCGTCCACACCCTCCTCGTGCGAGGGGTGCATCGCTGTCACCTTCTGCTGGGTGATGGTGCTCTGCTTGTACGTGAAGACCTGCAGGGGGAGAGGAACTGGGTGTTCAGTCGCCAGTGAGTGGCTCTCTGCGCTTCCCAAGCTGACTGCACAGAGCAAAAAGTACCCTGCACGGAGGTCATGGTGGTGCACGCCTACAATCCCAGCACTCGGGGCAGAGGTGGGAGGACTGCTGCAAGTTCAAGGCCAGCCTGGGCTACACAGTGAGACCCTGTGCCAAAAACACAATTTTTTTTTCTTCTATATTTTAGGGAAGGGTCTACAGGTTGTTCAGGGTCTCACTACAAGATCAGACTCGTAGTGATCCTCCTGTTTACAGCCTCCTAAGTGCTGGGATTACAGGCGCACGCCACCACACCGTCTCGCTGTCTCAGCGTGCCTGGCGGGCGGGGTTGGTATGGCAGGCCCAGAAATCGAATCCCTAGTACCTGCACCTGCTCACAGGTGCTTTAATCTGCTGAGCTATTTGGCCCTTCAAAAAATAAATTTAATAAAACCCACTGCAAATACCTTTTTCATTTTTTTAATGTCACCTCTATATTTCTAAAGGAAGCCACTGTTTTGATAGTTTCTATTAGGTGTTCCTGAAAGTCATCTGTCCAAGTACAAACCAACCTCTAGAGTTACAGAAATTACAAAATTATAGCTCACTTGTCTACATATTTCTCCAACTGATACAAATTAATAACCATTGTAAAACTGGCTACAGTTTTAGAGAATAACTTCAGATTCCCTACACAATGTTCCATATTGGATCATAGAATAACTTCAAAGCTTCATAGCAAAGGTCTTCAATGTAAGTATTATATAATTTAAGTAGCACTTTAAGTATTTTATAATTCATATTCATCACATCAGTATTCTATATATCTGTTCAAAGACAGGAACGCGCCCTTGTATCAGTATATAGAAAATACCCTTGATTGGCTGGGCGTGGTGGTGCACGCTTGTAATTCCAGCACTTGGAGGGCAGAGGCAAGAGGCTGTGCACAAGGTTGAGGCCATTTGGGTTCAAGTCCAGCCTGAACTACAGAGTGAAACCGTAAGTGAGGGAGAGGGGTAGGGGGAGAGAGGGAGGGGAAAGGAGGAAGGGGAGAGGGGGAGGGAGAGGGAGAGGGAGAGAGGGAGAGAAAGAGAGAACCCTTTGATACTATTCCTTTTTGACCTATACATGGCAGTTTTAAGCAACACATCCATCCTCAGATTCATAATAAATTGGTTCCTTCATTTACATGACAGCCAATATCTCTGAGAATTCCAAGCCACAGCGATGTTGCTACACATACGTAAAGCGACTGGTCTGGGAGGACTGCTCCTGGAGTTGACTTAGTGATCTTTTATTACAGTTGCTTGACACAGGATTAGGCATAGCAAGTCAAGCTCCATCAGTTGACCAAAATCTCACCATACAAACACATAAAGTAAAGCGCCCTTTTTTGGCGGTACCCAAGGTGGACTCAGGGCCTCCTGCAGGGCAGCCCGCGCTCTTCCACTGAGTCCCTGCCCCTACTCTCAGTAGCTCTTGGGTTGCAATCAACCTTGGAATGACACAAAAATGTCAAGAAGTTAAAAATAAAAACCAAGTGTGCCAGTAACAGGAAAAACACGCAGTCTTCACACACACAGACTTGACAAATACACACAACAGTCTTCCAGAATAATCCTTGCAGAGCTTTTTGACTGGGGACTCTATTTTTAACTATCAGCCAGCTGCCTGCACGGTAATAAAGATATGTTATTGCCAAAGAGACACACACATCAGAGACGTCAAGATTTAGAAAACTACCAAGCCAATGTCTTGCATAAGCCATGCCAAGAGGCACATCGTGTTTTTCTAGAGAAAAGTGGAAATTTCAGCAGTGGTTCTTTCTGCCACAGGAGCCACAAAAGCCGGCCATGCCGGCCTCAAGAAGCTGAGAGGCTGCTCCAGGCAGGATGTGCTCATCTCTGCTGAGGAAAAGCCACCTCCCACCTGCGCCCTGGAGATGACACAGAGCTCATAGGGCCGCCAGAGGCCGGGAGGGAGGGCACAAGGGCAGTACACTTCCAGTAGAACAAGTGTCCACAGAAAGGCACGGGGACATTCCACAGTGAAGGAACACACGGCCTTTCCTTTCCAGAGACAGTGGGGAAGAAAGTGCCAGAAACAGAGAATTAGGCCTCAGCGAATGTAACCCTGGGCGGCCCAGACATCCTGAGCCCCTCTGCGCTTGCCAAGCTGGCCCAATTCCAGTGACACCGAGCCAGGCAACTCCAGGGGGCAGGGCTCCAGCTCCTTCCTCTGAAAGCAACCAGGAGCAGCCCAGTCACCTCTAAAACTGTTTCATAGGACAGGAGCAAGTCTAGGGAAGCCAGCACAAGCACCTCCCGAGGAAATGCATGCTCCTCGGAGCCAGGTCCTTTCCAGTGTGAGCAGGTCTTTTTTTACCACTTACCCCTCTGAGCAGGCTCAGCGAGCCAGAACTGGAAAGCAGAAATGGTTCCAAGAGTACAAGTTTCGGCAGTACTCACACTGATCTTGCTTTCTGGAAATAATCAGATACAGCTAACGACACTGAGTCACACACACATACGCAGCACATAGAATGCCTACGTTTTGATAGCACACATAGCATTTCCTTGTCCTTTTTTGAGGCGCTGGGCATGAGCATGCGCGAGTGGCTCAGAGCTGGGCACACAGTCACTGAAAACAGTGCCTGTGACCTGCAAAGAGTCCTCCACCATCTAACATCTCACTGCCGGGTATTTTCGGGTGCATACTATATGCAAACTTTGGGCACATGTGCACTCTAGGAAGGGGAAACGGAGAGAGCTGGGAGTACTCCTTCCGAGAGCTGCAGAAAACGTGTCACTACGGAGATAGCAATTACCTGGAAAAAGCAGGAGACCACAGACAGAAAAGAGAACATTACGTCAAGATTCAGGGTGAGGGCCACCCAATGATTATTTTGAAGTAAGGTGGTGGAAATTGAATTAAATCATAGAACTAAAGGGGCTGGCAAGATAGCTCGGTGGTCTAAAGTGCCTGCTTAGGCAAACTTAGGCAGGCTCAGGGGACTGTGCTTTGATCCTGGCACCACATGCCTTGCCAGCCCCGCCCTTTGAGTAGACTGAGCTGGCAAAAAAAAAGTAGAAAGAAAAATATATTAGTGAAGGAAAGGCAAGGGTAACAGTCCGTCAGACGTGATTACTATCAGTAAAGATCTAAGAGCAGTAGAAATCCAGAAAATCCACGCAGGGCTTATTCCTCTGATGTGTTCCAGGCATCAGGGCTAGAGCTTCCATTCCAATTCAGGGGAAGGAAGTAAAAAACCCAAATATACAGGTAAATCTAGAGCATCACAGCCAGCAGCGAACCGTGTAAGTCAAGAACGGGGGTGCAGACTAGGGCGTCTGGGGACAGCCCCGCCACCAGCTGAACATCAAAGGAGAGACTGCACATAGGAGAAACAGTGCCACGCCTGGATTCTGATGCCTTGGTGCAGTGCTGGCTGAGTGGACGACGGATTTACTCTGAAAGATTTCAGGGGATTCATAAAATGCACAACACTAGATTGATCTAAAGCCATTTCTGTGTGCAACAATTAACTCAGAATTAGTTGTATAGGCTGCTTCTCAAACAGCAGCGGAAAAAAATCTGTTCATTGATCGTGAGTCTTTCTATAGGACTTTTTCTGGAACCAGCAGAAGTCACAATACAAAAGCAAGACATGCTTCAACATCCCCAAGACAGAATGAACCGAGTAACTTCAGTAGGGCAAGTACAGGAGAAAGAAGGGACCGTTGAGAATGAAGAGCATCTGGAGACAGAGAGGAGACCAGCTCCGGATGAGGGGCCGAGCAGATCCTCCCAGAGAGGAAAAGCCGCTGGCACACCACGCACTGACTCCGTGCCTGTCCAGGGAACATTTATGAGATACAACAGCTTTTATTTTTAACCTTTGATAGAATACACAGCGAGGACACCCCTCCCACCTGTGCTTATGCAGCCGTTCATATGCAGAGGGGTATTTACTGGCTCCTTTTATTGTAAGCCATCAGGAGTCTTGTCATAAAACCTACTTTTTCCATTGGACACAAATAAAACCGAAAAGCACCCAAACATAATAAAAAAATGGAAGGTAGGCCGTAATGTGAACCAGCAACCTCGGCTCACATTATTCTGGAATTCTTCTATGGCAGTGGCTCTCAATGTTGTCCCCTAAAAGGTAGGGACCAATGTCTGGTTGTCACAGGTAGGGGGAGAATGGCAGGGTGTTACCTGCACCCTGGATAGAGGAAAGAATCCTGCTGAATACCGTACTATTCCCTGCGTCAAGGGCTACGCATTGGTCGCTGGGTCAGCAACGCTCGGGTGAGCCCTTCACTATGTCCACGCAGATGCTGGACAGAATGATGACGTCAAAGGCAGGAAGAGAAACTTCTCACAGAACATAGGAACAAAGGCGTTAAAAACCACCAAGGAAGGCTGGTGAGATGGCTCAGTGGTCTAAAGCACCTACTTAGAACCAGCTTAGCAAAGCATAGGAACCTCGGTTCAATCCCCCAGCACCACATGCCAGCCAGCCCCGCCCCCTGGTGGGCTGAGCTGGCCACACACACACACACACACACACACACACACACACACACAAATAAATAAATAAAATTTAAAAAAAATTAAAAAAAAAAAACCCACCAAGGAATAAAAACATCAGAATCAGCAGGGGACATTACAGAATCTAGCTGATGGTTCTTCTTTATTGAACCCAGGTGGCAGAGGGCGGTGAGAATGGTGGTCCCTTGGCATGGGGTTCCCCTGGATTCCCCGGCTGCACCGCTCCATGGTCAGGCAGCAGGGTACATCCACTGGGCTCCTTCCCAGCCCAGCTCCGTGAACCTCTTTCAGGTCTGAAACTGTCCCGTGCTCCACCTCTCCTTCAGGTCTCAGCCCCAGTGGCACCCTCTTGGAAGACCCCAGTGGCCTAGTCTGGAGGACCTGTACCATCTCTGCTTCTGCGATGTGTCCTGTCCCAAGATCA